CAGATCTGTTATTATTGATGATCACTACAGGCTCTTGATATAAAGGGCTGGCAGCAGCCTGTGTGCTGCCACTCCAATGTTCCTGGCTCTAGCTATTCAATGATCATTATTCAGGGAGGTCAAGTGTAAGCTATTTAAAGTGGAATTATGGAAACCTTCCTGTGCTGAGTGCTCTGGTACAGAGGCCTTTGTGCTGGGTGTCACTGGCATGCCTGAGACTGGCAAAGAGAAGAGCCAGACAAGAATGGGCTGTTCAGTAGAGCATTAGGCAAGCTCCAGCATCAACCCTGAAACCATACAAGGGAACAACACTGTCAGACTTTAATTTTTTTGATCCTACCTTTCCTCCACACCTCCTGGTATGCCAAGCTGTCCATGGGATTTCCAAGACCTCCCACGAGACAAACACTGTCTGATAGGGCAGGTGAAGGAGGAGGTTGTTACAGTGATTCTTAAAAACAGTGATAAGCACATGGCAATGTCTGGCTAATGAAGGATATAAGTGGATCTTTTTATCTCTCTGAAAGATTTTTTCCCAACTTCTTTCCATGCTTTTCAAGATCCTGTTAATGAACCACACAGTGATTCAGTCTCTTTCCAATCTGTCTGAAAATCTGTGGTTCATATCCTAACTACCCTTAGAGATCCTTCCTCTGTTATCAAATCCCTTTGCTGTTTGCTCACAGTTTGCATCAGAATTCAGACCACAGAAAGAGAACTAAAAGAGACACATCAAAAACTTACTTTTTCTCACATCTGTGGCTGTAGAAGCAATAACATCTGCGAAAGTCCTCAGGGCGCTCTGAACCTACAAATCAAGGTAAGAGTCAAAGGCCTGTTTCATGCAGACAACAACAGGCAATTACTAAAGTAAATCACCCAGAGTAATCAGTGTATGGGCTAGGCATGCTTCTTACCATGCATAGGTGGGCCCTGTTAAATGTAGACCTTGTCTATGTTGTGCTGTGTGTAACCACAGGACTGTTTCCTAGAGGGCTACTGTCACTTGTAAGAAAAACTCTTGTTCCAAAAGCTTATTACAGTTACTGCACATCTCATCTTTTCTGAGCTGCAGTATCAATTTGTATGAGTCACAGGGGTAGGAAGAAAATCCTTCCATGTGCTCAGGGGAATCAGGGCTCGGTAAGGCTAAGAGGTAGACAACAACCTACACCCTGACCTTAAGGGATGTCAGAGCCATTGCCCATCCTTATGCTCCATTCTGCCATGCCAGGGCAGATGGCACTATCACAAGCTTCCTTTTCCTCCTGGAACAATCATAGCAGTGTGTTAACAAGAATCTTTCCTAGTTACCAGTGCAATTGGTATTCTGCCACTGACATCCACTGTCCACTCTTTGAACTGAATTGCCAGCGCCTCCTTTCTCATCAATTTCACCTGACGCTTCATATTTTCTACTTCCTCCCTCTCCTTATGTTTGGTCTTTGTCTCAGCCTTCATCCTGGCCAGCCTGTAGGACATGGGAATATGGTTTAGAAAGATACCATTATAATCATATTTAAGATAGATTGTCTACCCTGAAGAACAAAAGGAAAAGTAATAACTTCTAACTGAAATTCTTGTCCTAGTTTTTGTCCAAAGAAACACTTGATGTTTGAGGCACAAAATTACTCGTGTGACTATTGAAACAGATATTAATAACCTGTGTTTTCAGCTCCAAGGAGGCAAGACTATTCATATTGACATGTATCATCTCCTGAAATCAAGTGTACCATAAATCTTAAGAAATAACCTGTGTCAGACGTGTGTGGAGAGAGCTTCTTGTAGAGCATATGGTAGACATTTAAAGGAAAATCATCTGTACAGCTCTCCTAGTTTGTGTAGTTTCAACAGTGATGATTTTTACCTTCACGCTTACAATGGCATTAATCGGTTATTGTGTAGATGTCCTTCACCTTCTAATTTTAGCAGGAGGAGAGGTGCCTAATTTTGCTACACTTGATTTACCAACAGAATTGCAGCAGTCTGCATTTGTCTCAAAGCCCAAGTACCGTTTCACATAAGCACTTCACACAATAAAGCAGTCTCACACAATAAAGTCCTTTCTGCCTTAGGACAGGGATAATACCTCAACCTCGCTGTCATTTTGAACACATTGTTTGCAAGCTTGGACTAAAAATACTTCCCTTTCTTCTTCCTTCTCTTTTCTTTCCTTGTCTAATCATCTAGCCATGTTTTTCCCAATCCTCCATTTTGCACAACAGAAGAACTGTGTCAATTGATCCTGCAGAACTGATCTGCTTTGGTTTTGACTCTCTTCATTTACAAAATGGAAAAAAAAGCCTTCAGGAAGTTCAAAATGCTTAAAGCCAAAGGATCAGTTCCTATGGGGAGAAGAGTTCCAGCTCATGGAGGCTGCTGGAACATCTCTGCATTGAGGCAGCTGCCCTGCTCACCTCTGTGGCACTCACTTACACCCTCTGTAATACTCGGAGTAAGGGGAATTGCTCCTCTATTGTACCTGAGAACACACGAGCACAGAAACTATATTTTAACTAAGGATTTCTGCTCCCTTCTTCCCCTGTGTTTCACACACTGTGAAAATGAGCTGATCCTGTCTCTGATCTCTTCTGTTGCTACAGGTCATCCTAGAAATGATAAACCACTGCTATTTTTAGAAAGGCCTGTTTGACACGTTACAACAACACACTTGGATCACAGTCAGTTTTATCACCATGTACTTGTTCTTCATGGCCACTTATCACAGAGGTTTCTTAATGAATAACTGGGTTCCTTCACCAGTCGTGGGCATTGCACAAGTGCTGGCTGAGACAATGCAGCCTCTGGCACTTTGATAGCAGGGGAAGGGGAAAACAATTTCCTATCTCCTGACTCCTTCATGGACACTGCAAAGAGGAGGTATGTAGCAGGTACCACACTAAATGGACTAACACATTTTCCTCCAATGTATTTTACAGACAGAGAAAACCAGACCATTTCTAGATGCAGCTCCTCCTCCAGAGTGGTCTGCAAGCTGAAGGCAGGGCTAAGGCTGTGCTGGGAGTTGTCCAGGTGCTATGGTGATTAATTTGGGCAGTGCCCAGCACAAGTTTCATTGAGTACTGCACCTGCACTGGGCTGCAGTTCTGCATTTACTGCTAGGGTCCTAAAACACCAAATTGCTGCATCCCCTGCCCTAGTGTCCCTGGTGTGGGAAAAGATGTTCCCCCTCCTTAGACAATAACAGCAAATCAAGCTGTAACAGTGCTGGGCACTCGCTTCAACATGAGCTCATTTCAGGATTAGACATTTCCAGAAGGATGAGATGGCAGCGAGGGTGACTTCTCCCTGCAGAATGAAACATGTTTCTTCAGGAAGACAGCCGCCTAACTCCCACACAGGGATGGTGACTCAGACTGAAGGACTCCCATCCCTGGACAAATAAAGTCTCTGATTCAGGTATCAGTCCATTTGGATGTGGAATTTCTCCCATCTGTTCTGCTGTCTGATGGCAGTTAAGGAGAGACTGGAGGAAGCCAGAGAGAGCTCAGTGAGGGCGGGTGAGCTTTAGACAGGAACCAGTGGTGAGATCCTGCCTTTCCTGAAGGTCATGTCAAGGCTCCCAGGAGCTGCACTGGGGCCAGAATTTTACTCTTCATCTTCCTGCTGCTGATGTGAGAGATCCTGAGCACAGACCAGCATCTCCTGACAGTAAAATCCTCCGTGCTGCTGGGGTTTAAGAATCCGATGCAAATCCCACAATAGAGCCATCACAAATATGTAAATCCTGAGCTGCTGTGAATGCAAATCCCATGATACTACTACCAGCTGATATGCAAAACCTGCTGTGGCTACATAACCCCCCATGGCAGTGCTGTCTATGGAAAGATTTATTTTTACAAGCTTTGATAGTCACTTCCTTTGCATCAACTCTGATAGCTACAAATTGAGAACCTGTCTCCAAGTGTAAACATGGATTTAACAGCCAAGACCAAGATAACGTGTCACCAGTAGCCAACACTTTGCATTCTACAGGAAAACCTGAGCTCTCCAGAAATAAGCAATGATTCACGATGAAAGCCAAGAATATTTTAGCAGGAAAAAAACCAAACCAAAACACAAAACCAAGAACAACCCCAAAATCAAACCAAAACCCAACCCAAAATGAAAGGAAATGTTATGTATTTTAATTCCATTTCTTTTGTAAAATGAAAGTGAGACATAGTTCTGAGGTTCCTGCATCCAGGTGTCCCTCTGTGAAGAAACAGGAATGGTGAAACAGTCCCCCCAGAAAAGGTGTTGGCAAGGCTGGCATCCTCAGCATCTCCAAGAACAGTGTGTGCTTGAGTGAAAGCTCACTGAAAAAGCAGATACTTCCCCAGATCATTTGTTTCAGTGGACCAGCATGTAAAAAATAGAAAATATAATTGAAAACCTTTTCCCACCTGTGGTTGTGCTCCTGTGTGTCTGCTTATGAAATAAAACCCAAAAAGCTGAGCTCTTACACACTGACCACGATCAGCCATTCACAATTATTTCTATCCATGGGGGAAAAGGAGGTGATTGTATAAAACTCACTTATCACACAGCTTTGGCTGTATCCACATGTTCCTATGAACTGTAACAGTATGTGGACTAGAAATGCAGAGAGATAGAAGCTCGGAGCAGTAGAGAGAGATTTAACATGTTCTTTTATTCATTTTAATACTGGGAACTTCAATTATCTTCATTTAGAGTTTGTGTACGAGACATGTCAACATTTCACTTCCCTAATTCCCGACACTGAAACCTTGAAACCAATTTTCAAGCTGTACATACTATTTATGCAAATAGAAGAGACAGTCATTCAAACAGAAGTCATTATTCCACAAGCCCAGATACAGAATAAAGTCATCTGGTAGTGAATGAGTAATTTTGCCATCATTCACCATCACCTCTGGATCATCTGCAAACACAAATGTTCGCTGCTGTATTTGTCTGAATAAAGCAATGACGATGAAAGCATTATTGCTCACCTAATGCACTCCCATTCTAACCACAGCATATTGTAAGACGCCATGGAACCCCCTGCCAATATTCGTTAAACATCATAGTAAAGCAAGCAGCCTAGAATGCACCCCAGAAGTAAGCAACATAATAAAATACAAAAAAGAATCTGAAAGGAAAGGTTAAGTAAAAATCCCAGGAAAAGGAGTTTCTACCATGTGCCAGGACAACATTGCTGTTGGTTTGGTCAAGAGAAATCATACTGGAGGAGGGGAAGAAGGTTCTCTTTGTATTAAGTTTGGAAGAATAACAAAGAAATGATCTGAAGAGTCCATGGACCTTTGATACCAACACCTGTCCTAAAGAACTGCTATCACCAACCTAGACCAGTTCAAAAGCGATTTGCATTCCACATACATAATTAAGATAGAGTCTAAAGAGGAATTATGTATTTGTGAAGGGCAGAAAATTGCCTTAAACAGGAATAACTAGTGTCTCATTTTGTGTGAAATGTTCTGGCATTTGTGCTGCCTCTCAGGTTTTTGTGTTTGACAACTGCCATTGCTGGCACTGGACTCCACAAGGTTCATTTTGTTCTACTCTTTGCCAGCCAGGCTGCAGTAACACCACTGCAAGACACCAGCTCTGCCTGTGTGATCAGCCACACTTTCAGCTCTCTCACCTCTCTGATGCTGTACCAGGCATCTCAGATCTTAGCTCCTCTGTGACCACCTTCAATCCTCTCAGGTACGGGCCTGGTTTTGTAGGAATGCCATACTGGGGGTTATGTCTCATCAGATATTCTCCAAGGAAAATAAAGGGATTGAATTGGGTTGGCTCTTCTGCTGCAAGCACATTCTTTCTTTCCACTTCCATTAACAGCTTTTCAATTCCTGGGATTAATGTAGGTAGGAGTTTTTCAAGCAAATAGATGCGAGTATCTAGTGACACTTTCTCATCATTGAACCACTCTCTGGACAGCAAGTCACAGGGTTCTCTCTTATTTACCTTTTCTTCTTTTACCTTTTGTTCATGAACCATCTTCACTTTTGTCTCCTGCAGACTCAGACACCTCTGCTGTACCTTTTTATAAAAGCACTCTTTCCACAGAGCATAAATACTAAGACATGGCAGCTCATCATTCCCCTGATTTCTCTTCATTCCTGTGGCAGTCATATTCTCACCTCCAGGCTTGGGATGTTGCAGACCTGCAGTTTGGGCTGCTGCTGGCTGAGCAGCCATCCTTCAGCAGCTGTGACACAGAACAGAAGCAGCAGGTTATACAATGCCAAAAGATGCAGCAGCGTCCTAAAAGATGAGTCTATTGTTAGGAATTGAGTAATATTCTTTTTCTACATTCCTTTTCATTCTGTTACTGCTGCTTTGTACTCTTAAATAAATGCAGCCCCTTCACTTCAAAGATCATTAAATGATTTATAAAGATTAATTATGTATCACAACAACCCTTGGAGACAGAGCAACTAAATAAGTGTGTTCCTTTCTTACAGGAGAAGAAAATGAGACACAGAAGTGATTAATTCCAGGTCACTTAAAAACTCAGAAACCCAGTGGTGAACAGTGCTCAGAAGTCTTGTCACCCAGTTCCAACCAGTAAATTCCTCTACCCCTTAGTGTCATTAGTTCTGTGTAGGTTCCATTCCATGCCTCCAGGAGATCCAGTGGCTGTGAGACAAAGGAAGCAAGTAATGGAAAATACCAGATGCCTGGGAGCAAGATTTCTCCTTGTCTCCTGCTCCATCATTTCTGTTGCTGTGAAAAAACAGTGAGGAAGCCTGTCCCATAGACTACTGAATTTCAAGTTTGACAACTCTTTTTCCCTCTGGATATTTTGTTAAGGTAATGAGGACACAGGTGTATGGGTCAGCAGAGCTCCCACAGAAGGGGAAACTCTATACCGTCAACTCTGTAATTATGCTGTTCACAAGCACTTAATCTTGTAGATTATTCTGTAAAAGACAGACCTACACAAAGTTGCAGATATCTCCCTTTACATTGTCCCAAACTCCACTGTTTTCTGAACATTTCAAAATGTTCATTTTGTGAAATATCAGAAAGAACCTGGGTTGCTCACAAGGCACAATTTGATAACTATTCGTTTGTCTCTACACATCACTGACTGCATCTGTAATGGGACTTATGAATACAGAATGGAGCAGAATGTTGCCTAACTACTTGATCCAGAGCATGTAAAAACACCAGCATGCTGCAAAAAACTCACGTCAGTGTTAAACAACAGCAAGGGAAGGGTGATATTAACAGAGAGCCTAATGCCTTTCCAAATTAAAGATGAAACTCCACTCTGAACTTGCTGCCACTCTATCATTTTCAAGCTCTTATTTAAAAGTGCTTTTCACTAAGGCCTTTCAGTATCCATAGCAATACTGTTGCTTTTGATATGTTTTGCTCTTCATGTTTAAGCATTTGTAGCTGTTCTGAAGAGAGTTCAGCCTTCCAGGAAATGCATAAATGTGATCTACAGCCCTCCTGACGCACAAATGTAATTACTAATATGTTGACCTTCTAGTTCATAACCATTGCTTGAGTCCAAATACTGCCTGAATAGGTAGGATGCTTCACAACACTAAATCTCTATGTCTGCTTTCTTGATGCACTTATTGGCATCTGCTGGTAATTTGTATTCAAAGATGATTACCTGCTGGGGAGGGAGATGGATTTATGGATCAAGCTGCCTGCCTGACCCACACAGAGGGTTTTAAGATGGGAGCTGGTTTTGCCAGCAGAGGACATGAGCTGTAAAGGAGCCCAGATTTATAATGGTAGAAAAGGAAACCTGTCAACGCAGGCAAAATGTTCCTTGCTTAGGTGAGTTTCTTTCAATAAGCTGTAAAACCAGACTCTTTCTGGTTTAAAGCAGGGTGTTAACCAAATGCTCTGGTCACATTCCAAATCAGCTGGTTTTGTTGTGCCAAAATAAACTGTTCTTGCAGTTTCAAATACTTATGTTATTTTTCAACATCCTTTATGAAACTGCTCTGCAGTCTCTGTGCAATGTTAAAGTGACAACTGCACTCTGCTTCATGAGGTGCCCGATTCCAAAGGATAATGAATGGATTTTCTACACTGCTTTCAAATATTTGTTAGGATGATTTTGAGGATTAGTAAATGTTTATAAAGTATCTCTATGTCTCTGAACAAAAGAAAACAAAAAACAACCCAGGGTGACTGTTCTGTCTCAATTCCATGGCATTTGCCTGACTCCAAGAATGGAAGCAGAGCACAGAGAACTATGCCCACTCCTTTAATGCAGGACAGATAACAAAGGTATGGAAGAACATACAAACAGCACATACCTGTTAACAACAAAGGAGTGCTAGAATCAGGCCCTGAAACTTGGAATTTGTTGAGGATTACAGGAATACACCTCCAGTTTGCATAAGAAGCTCATAAACTTCAGTGCTAATTGACATTAGCTGAGAATTTGGCTTGTAATATATAAAGCTCTCGTGGCCTGTGACACTCCCAAGTGGAGGCCTGACTGTCCAAACAACAGTAAGGATGGTACACAGAGGCAAGCTTTAGAAACACCCAGGAAATTTGAAATGTCATATAAAGTTTCCTGTAAGCCTTTGTTCAAGCTGAAGGCAAGATAAGCTTTTCATTATTTAGTAGGATGCCACTTCCCTGGCTCCTTTTCTGTGAGAGAAATATTCTTGCTGGAATCCCTGCAGGTAGAAAAAGATTATCTCTCCCTTTTCTGTATAGCCACCAAATCTGCTCATAAATAAAGTTTTTATGGTTTCATTGTTATTTTGTTAGGGGATTTTGTTGGGTGGGATAGGGCCAGGAAAGACTAAAGTTTGTCTAGGTAAGTATTTTAGAGATGTTTGAGTTACAGAAGTCTTTTCAAAACCAGAGTACAATCTCTTTGATGCTCTATTGCTCAGAAATAGTTCTGCCTTTCCCTAACGTGCTTCACAGAGCATGTTTATCTCACCAAACACAAAGAGTCCAATACCCTTTTAAACATGATCTCCTTTTCAATACAATTAAAATATAAAAAGACTTTCTGTTTTCCTTTGTGAAGCTTTGAAGAACAGTTTTTCTTACCTTTGGAGCAGGTACCAAACTAGATCTTATTCTTCCTGCTTTCAAAGTGGCTTTGCAAATGAACTGGAATTTAATATATGCCCATCTGTTCTCAACCTTAAAAATCTTAGAGTGAATTAGGGATTTCTCAGACCTGCTGTGGAGCTGGGCTGTGAGTTTTACTCCTCTGTGTTTGCAGTTGCTAAGCAATAATCCCAAAGGTTGCTATGTCTCTTCCACGACTCAGAATTGCTGTAGGTTGTCTTTGGGCTTTGGCAGCCCAACAGACTCTTCTGTACTGAACTTAGATCATTGCATCACATGACTGAAAATAAAATCAGAAAAGACTATGAATAGCAACAGACAACATTAGGGCACAGACAGAGAATCCACAGGTGCCCAGTGACAGGAGGTTTACCTTCAGCTTCAAGGTTCACAAAGTCCAGAACAAGCAAGTCCATTCCAAGCTGAACTGAGGACTGCAATAACCAGATGCGAGAATCTGAGAGATAAAAAGAAATCCATTACAAACTCAATTTAATCGTTTTCAGGCTCTTCTTCGTAAAGAACTGTGTCATTTTGAAGCAGCCCTGAGGGAAGGCATGCACAGCACCAATAAGGGTGCCATTTTGTTAGACTGCTTTTAAACCTGAATCTAAAGGAATGTGATGAATCACCTTCCATCATCTCTCCTATATTCTTGAAGAATAATATACAATGTGGGGAAAGGAGAAGGGAAAAGACAAAAACATCTACGACAGCCATTCTGCACTCATTTATACCATTGTGAATCAGGTGCCTGCTCAGTGATTTCCTTGGTGTTAAGCTCAGAACTTCCAACTGAGAAATTTATGGAACATTCTGCCAGGAAACAAGGTTTATCTAATGCTGTTTCTTTCTTTATATTTTGCACTGGAAGAGGCATAATCTTTGGATTGTCTACCTGTAGGAAAACTGAACTGTGACTTTAGCTACAGCATTTGTCATTGGAACAGCTTCACCCTCTAGCAGAGTATTAGTCTCCATTTTATGGGACAGCTGAACTTGTTAGAAACCATGAAATAGAGGAGGTTTAATACAAATAACAGAATTTTCCCAAAATCTAATAGAGTTGCTGTCAGTCACATTTGTTCTTTAGCTTAGGAACTCTGGGGTTTTAATTGCAGACTCAAAAATGTCATTCTCTGTCATCTTCATCAAGTCCCTTGTTATTTATTACAGCATCCACAACACCACAGTAAATAATCAGTAATTTGTAAAACTGAAATTGGAAATAGCTCTATGTGACATGCACCCAAAGTCCCTAGATAAACCCAGTACAACATTTATGCTGCTCTTAAAAAGATTTGATTTTGTTCCTAAGCTTTGCCCTAGAAGCTAGAAAGTGTCCATGCAGTGTGCAGGGTAATTACAAGGAGGAAAGTTGCTCAGAAATTACAATAACAATTGTACTTTGATGGACACACAAAAGCCTCAATTTTTATATCATTTTTATACTGTCTTTTCTGGGAAGTAAGACACTCCTGGTGTTCCTACCCAGCAATATTTATTTCCCTCTATGTACTCCTGTATGTATTTCAGAAACAATCTGTATGGTTGTAGCTTCTATAGATACCTTTGGCCATCTGTGCTACATGTCTCTGAAAACTGTTCCTTTTGGACACTCTCAAATACCACTGGAATGCCAAGCTTACCACTATAGTAACATGCCATAGACACTAAAATACTGACATGAGTTTAGAATTCAGTATTTGCTTGCAGAGAGGAAACAGCCCAAAAAAAACCCTACAAACCACATATAAGTCAACTTTCATGTGAAAAATACACTGTAATAAATTATCACTTCTCTGCTGTTTACTTGAAACAACATCTATCAGAAGGAAATATGCTCACTGCAATGTATTTCCAAGTACTGCATTAATTATGTCAAGAAAATGAAGCAGAAAATTAGTGCACAGGAATAATTCAAATGAGGCTTTAAGCTGGATTGTGCACTTTTTTCCTCAGAGCAGTTTGCACTTGATTAACTCCCGTTATCTCTTCTCCCAGGTGGGTTTGATTCTCCCCTTTGCACTTCAGCATTCTGTTGATATTATAATTAATTTACC